TGGTTAGTTCAAAAACTGCAATTCCAGACAGATTTTATGGGTTTTAAGGACGGAAATGGAAGTGATTGCCGCCAAGAGATCAGTTGCTCCCAGTCCATACTGAAATGAAGCTTGGAGACCCAAATTTCAATTCTCCAATTACAATGACCAATTCTTCTCAGCATTGCCTGACAGTATAGTATTATATATTATTTTAGTGATAAAACCCCTACATCATAACAATAAAAATGAGAAAGGATTTCCGATTTAGAAACTTTAGCAACAAACATGTTGAAAGATAGCAGAGAAAGAAATGGTGAGAATAGAAGCATAGATATCTTCAGCTGCAAGAGGTAAAAGTAGAATCTTGATTGAGCTTGCCTCCTGTTGACTTAATGGACACATCAGCGTAGTCTTTAATGCAGACTATTTTTTGGTAGTTGTTTATCATTGTCTTCTCCTGGGACTCTTTTTCCAAATTCCAGTGCTGACACCTGACCAATCTCAGCTGATCTCAGAAAGCTGTGCAAGATCAGGTCTGGTTAATATGTATAATGGAGACCACCAGGGAATTGCAGGGCTCTTGGCTATATACAGTACTTGAAGTTGTGAGGAAAAAATTCTAGAAGGCAGCAATGGCAAACTACTTCTGTAATACAACCAAAATTGCATGAATGTAGTCACCAGGAATCAAGTCGAATTTGGAGGTTGATAATCCTTAAATGTAAAGTATAAAAGTACATATCACCCCAACTTTCTTGAAGGTATCTTGCAAACCATTTTTCACAGACGCATCTATACAATGTAGTCTTCTTATAACGAGCCAATAGCCAAGGCCGCTAACTTTGGCTTTCTCTGATCTGTTGTGAAAGTAGTTTTCCATCTTCTCCTGACACAAGTCTTGCTATATGCTGTGTTGTTTGGAGGTGACCATGGTGATGAAGTGGCAGGGCTGGGATCTGGCCACCTCCTATCGGCTGCTTATAACTGCTATATGCCCCCCCCCCCCGCCCTGTCACGTTCCCTCCTTGGCTTTGGTTTGTGCTGTTGGACTGACATGACACCAGGAGAGCAGTAGTACCAACACTGCTAGAGAAAGTGGGAAACCAGAACCTCTCTGGAGTGACCTTCCAGTCAAGGCATGTTTTTTCTACATAGGTTTGACAGGCAGATAGGTAGAACAGTACTGATACTTAAAGGTTCAGACAAGGGTTACTCTGCTTACCTCTCTAGTGATCTATGAAAACATGCCTCCTCCACTAGCCCACACTGGAGGGGGCCATTTGGTAAAACCACCACCCCCTCACTGGCAGGGAAATCTGTCAATTGCTACACCCTAACTTGCCCCACAGTAAATTAATAGGAGAGCACCACTTACTAGCCTTATAACTGAAGCAGAGTAAAGCTTAGCTGTGGGGAGAGAGCAAATTATGCTGGGGCACTTTTGTGCCATCTTGCAGAGGAATGCAATCAACCAATTGTCTGGAGGTGCCTTATACTGGGTCATTGTCAAACATGTTATTGCTGCTCTAGTGCAGCATTTCTCAACCTCAGCAACTTTAAGGTGTGTGGATTTCAACTCCCAGAATTCCCCAGCCAGCAAGGGTTGAGGTTGAGAAACGCTGCTCTGGTGCATGCTAGTCAGTTCCCATACAAAATCTGGTGTGATTTTGCCTCATGCCCTGAGTTGGGAAGTTAGCAACATGGGAGAGAAATAAATAGGAATGCAGACCGAATTCTCTGCCACAGCCTGGCTCATTAGCAGCCCTGCTCTTTTCCAGAAATGCCACACTCTCCTGTCAGCCCACATTGTTTAACAATATCACTGAACCAATGAACTATGATAAGAAGCAGTTGGAAACAGACAAAGAAATTTTATCTTTCTACAAGTGTCCAATATTCACCCTCCTGCAAAATCCACTTGCTGTATAATCCAGCCTATTCAAGAAATAATCTACTTGTAAAAATGCAACTAAATATGTACTCTTCATTTAGATACTGAAAATATACAGATCTTCTAAACCATGATTAATTTCCATTTGAGTAGTCTATCGTGACTTTATTGTTTGGGAAGTGATTTAATATTGTTTAGAGATTTGTACATGGCAAGTGTTCTGATGTAATTTTTAAAAATCTTAGGTATAATAAAAGCACTAAATTAAAACTAACTGGATTAGGATACCAGATTGCATCAAATTGCAGGAGGCTTGCAGCCAACAGTATAGTTCCAACAAAATGTACAGCTGGCTTTGTACAGGCAATTGGCAGTGGAAAAGGTAAGCTGCATTTCTTGATGAACAAGAAAACCTTGTTCTTCCAACAAAGCTACATTACCAGGCTTAACCCAATCAATCAATCAATCAATCAATCAATCAATCAATCAACCAACCGACCCACCCACCCACCAACCCACCTACCTGTTGTATGGGGTAATGTTGGCCATGGAAAGGAAAAAAGAAAATCCTCAAGTACCCCTATTCAAGTACTTCCACTTACCTCAAGTAGCTCTTTGAATCCCATCCTCATGTATTTATACCTAGAATTTAACCCGATACATCCAAACCCAAACAAAACATTAAAAATGGAGAGGAAGAAGGGAGAAATATTGCCATATTTGAATGATGATCAAAATTTAATAATGAAGACCAGAAAAGAAAAAGAAAAGAAAATTATGATATATTTTGTTTATTATTGCTCTCAAAGGGCTTGATAGTCAAATATACAGGCTATGTTCTATTAAATGAGAAGAAAGTAGTGGAAAGTATAAAATCTATTCTTACTGTTCCAATCCAAATAAACTGATACAGTATTCTTTATGCCATACACTGCTATTTTGAGGAATATTCTTTCACATATACTCTGCTTATTTATGTGATTTTATCTGAAAGACAAACCAAAAAGATGGACTATCATTGTGCAGTTGTATATTTCAGTTTTCAAAATGGATGCGTCTTTCTAGATTTCAAACAAAATCTATGGTTTTAAAACAAAGTATGATCAGTATGTTAGGATATGAAAATAAAACAGAAGTGTGACATGTGTTTTTCCTCCCCATAACAGGCATGCACCACCTTCCATTATCTGCACAAAGCAGGAAGCAGACACCTGCTTTTTCTTCCTATTCTCAATGACCCTCCCTCCATTCCCACCCTGTCCCATTTGTTTCTGTCAAAATAGCTGGTTTTTATCTACCAGCACAGAACTCCTTGTAACTGCAACAGGAAACACAAGGCCTTTCTACTTGGCTTCTGTTAAAATATTTTCAATGTCTTTGTCAGAAAGCAATTATATTGCATTCGCCAAAGGGGAAAACACTTCCAACAAACAAGACTTATTTATCAAGCTTAAAAAAATCTGTTTGCCTAGTCAGAAAACAGAATCATTCTTAATGGTTTAAAAACAAACCCAAACAGAACCTATTTACTGAGTGAATAATCGAGAGTCATGTCTGGATTCTGCCCCTTCCCCCAAATTGCCTTATGTAACTTCCAATGAAGTTAATCAGAGCTCTCAGACCTTAGAGACAAGGTGGGTAGGATCCTTTGTAGGAAGCGTTACTGTCCATCCTGGGTCTGGTAGTGCAAAGGGGAACAATGCAGCAAAAAGTTGTTCTCTAAGTGTGCATGTGTTCATGCAGGAAATAAACGAATGTGCATTGAACTTTGCTGCAGTAGTTCCCTCTGCTAGAGACAAGTTGCAAAACTGCAAACCAAAACACTCTGGTAACACTTAAAATGAACTACAAAAGGCAGAGAACTTTAGCATTGTTAGTGTTTGAAGGTAAAATATGACATATTTACCTCTGGCTATGAAAGAATATTTAATCGAATTATTAAAATTAATAATATAAATCAGATAAGACTCTAAGTTTATGAAGAATTTTAGTTATAAAAGCTGAGTCAGATTCTGTATGTACGTATGTATGTAGTGAGCTGATGTCAAATTTCTTCCCAGCACTGAAATAAGAAGATAACCACGGCCACATGCTAATAAGTGAATACTTCCTTTCTAAATATTTGCAAACATCAGTCAGCACAGCTATATATTAAAGATATCCACTCACAGGTTCTATGAGGTTTCTTCCTGGTGGTTAACCACTGACATACAGTATCCATTAAAGAGCTGCCATGTGAGTCTAAATTTGGCCGGCACGCAGTCCAGCCTCACCGCTTTCCAAACAGGGGCACCACCCATGCACTGGAATTGGATACAGTTGCCCTCTAAAGCTATTTAGCTCCTCTAGATATATTTCCAAGCCAGAGAGAGTAAAAACCATTATTGGTAACGTTAGTGTGGCAGAAAATTAAAAAAAGGTATAACCTTACCCCAACCTCCAATGTTTAGGTATTAAAGCAACTGTTGGTTTACATGGCAATGTATACAGATAACCAAGCAACTTAGATCCTACCCCATCAACATGTTTACTTGAAAAACATCTTTTCTGATTGGAGATTAACATATTTTCAAGGAAGCATGTATCAGGTTCGAGCCCTAGAGGTACAACATTGTCCCCTAGATCTCAATGCAAGATCTTTCCATAGCGTGGTGCTGATTTTTTCATGTGTTTCGTAACATGCCATGCAGAAGAGTATGAGCAGAAGAGACTTTTTGAAGAAACTCTCAAGACCTAGAGACTGAGCACTCTGAGATACGCAGATCCAACTTACAGGCTCGTCGTGTCACTTTTTGTTTGTTTTCAAAGAAAGAAAAAAAGCAAAGCAGTATCTATGTAAGCAACGGAGCTAAACATGTTTCAGTTTTAATTAGAACAACATAGAGTAGAAAGATGTGCAAAAATGAAAGAGACTAGAATTGCATTAGGTTTTAGGAAGTTCTGGTTGAAAGAATGCATTTATCTGTTGGGTGATGCTTTCATGAAAGCACCACTGCTTTTGTGGAAGGTCATAATTATTAAAATAAAAATACTTCTAAAATAAAACGCCTGGAGGGATGATACGGCTTTTTCCAAGTGCTTTTCTCCCCGAGAAACATCTGTAAATAAACTAGACACTGTAGTTTGCTGCACTGGATGCTGATTTTTTTTTTAAAAAAACCCTAAGAACAGAGATTTTAGTTTAGCAAGAAGAAACATTCAAGTGTTTCTCTTGCAAAGCAAGTGTGACATTCTTGAAAGATAAACAGTTATCTGAAGATGCTTGTACTTCCCTCTGTTAATTCATCCTCCCATCTGCCACGAAGCAAAACAAAACAAAAAACATGAAGTTAGCCCAGATTTCTCTTCAAAAACTACAAATACAAGGATCCTTAATCAGGTAAGTAGTCAACTTTTTCCATGTCTCTTGAATCTTCCAAATTCTTCAGTCTTGGCTCAAGTATTATTAGTTATCAGTTAATAAGAAAAAAAGATAAGTTTTCTAAGTGTCTTTCTTTCCAATGAAGTTAATTTGATACCACTGTCTTTTATAGTCAAAAATGCATTTGTAAAATTATTTCTTTTTCTTGAATTCTTGGTTGCCATAGCTGGAGCCCTTTTCTATTTCCGTTACTCCTATCAGTCTGCGAACTCCAAAGGATGCTTTATATAGGAAGGAAAAAAGATTGCATTATTCCAGGAGTAATTTCAATATTCACTAGCAAAAAGTATGTACATGGACAAAGTAGATTCAAACAGATTCCAAACACATGCAGATTGGATAATTTCTGTGTTTTTTTTAAAAAAAGTACCAAAATCTTACACCAAGATAAAATCTGTATTTTTTACAAAATGAAATATATGCATATGCATTATTTAACCATACATTCAACTTTTTGCAAAATGTATGATGTTTCTACCAGCTATTAGGAAAAGGAAAGAACAATTCAGGATACTACAGCCCCATTTACTAGCAATCCTACTGCCACAGTTTTTACTTGAGAACAACACTTCGGAAGAAGAAAAATGGGTCAGGAAATCCCAAAGAATCTTCTGTACTAGTTGAGATAGACCCTTGCTCAGAACCATTCCTATTATCTAAGGGGCCTCTTCCTAGATTCACTAGTACAGCTAAGCCCACATGAACAAGTGCCAATGCTAAGTTGAATATCAAAAGGTAGAGAGGAATTGCATTGCTCACTTGCAAGGAAGAGCATCTTTGAAGCTCTTAGCATACATGGATGATTTGCAGCCAGATCAGCTTGTTGAGCACCAGCTGAGCTAAGGCAGGATACTTCAATAGGCTGAATGGTCTTGCAGTCAGATCAGACTTAAGTGAATACTACTTAAGTGTATTAAGTGTATATTACTTAAGTGTATTAAGTGTATATTAAGTGTATTCACTACTTAAGTGAATACAACCCAACAGGTCGAAAACT